ATCTCGCCGGCAGCGCACGACCTTAACTATGTCGTCACGAATATCAAATCTCTAACCGTTTCTCTATCGCGTTTTGCAATTGAGTATTTTAACTCAACCGATTTCTAAAACTGTATTCGTTTAAGCTTACCAATCGTTCAACGTACGCTTATCGTTCAATTTTACCAATGATCAAGCACATTTGCACTCGTTTCTGACTGCTATGCAAAAGCAATCACAAATGCGGTATGAATTTCAATTTGCAATTTAAAAATTCAGTCTTAAATACAGCTAATGTATTATAGTACTGTAACCTTTAGACTTTCCAGTGTGGAAAATCTAATTTTAACAGAAATTTCGATAGGTCCACGTCATTATTGTGGATATTTGAATTCTAAACGCACCTTTAGTCTCGTCCCGTCGCCTTAAGCTTTGAACGTTTCGCATCAGATTCACGTACTGGTAGCCGGGCAAATTGTTGCAAAATATCCAGGTGATTTCGTCGACTCAACAGGGAGCTCGCGTGGCCTCCAGGGTAATCATCGGGTAGTAAGAGTACGTCAAATTTTGATTAAGAACGCGGCGAAAGTCCACGCAGGAGTCCGTTCCCCACTAGAACTTGAAAGTTGGCCGCATCATCGCCGCGTTTGCGAGCCCGACGTCCGGTGGAGCATCTCCTGCTTCGACCGGTGAACGTTTATCGGCGAAATTTAATTGTCGGATCGATAAGTCAGGCGGTCGGGAAACGGGTAACGTGAACAGTCCAGAAAAATCGAAACTGCGTCGGCCATTTTGTATTATCGAGCTGTGACTGCGCCAACTTCACGCGGTAGTCGCATTTCTCTACTTTTTCGCGAGATTGTCGCTTCTCGTGCACTGTGTGTGACTGATCCTCGGTCCGAAACGAAAACAATTATCCGTTTTCCTCGTGAGGAGATCCGTTGCCGAGCGTGACCGGCGAGGAAACGAGACAGGAGCCACTTCTGGGTAAGTAAAACGACGGCAAGCATTATTCCACGGTAACCCTGTCTCCTCGTGTCGCGAAACTACGTCGTCGTAACGGGTAATCGTCGTCCTCGACGTCTCGCTGGACAGTGGACAAACATTTTTCCAAGCACATCATGCGAACGTTTCGCATTATTTATCGCGTGATCGATCCACGGGTTGTGACAACGCGTTTTTGTGGTCCATCGAGAGCGATAACGAGCTGGCTCCGTTGAAAAAGGAGGCGAGCTCGTGTCGCTGATCGATGCCCGTGCCGTGTTACAAAAGATAACGGACATTGAAGCATTGTCAGTGAAACCTCGTGCGCGTGAATATCCGATCGGTATCGGGGGGGAAAAACGTGCCGACCGCGTCAAAGAGCATCCCTAGCAACCAGCCCGACAAAACCTCCCCATCTTCCAAACCGTCGGATTCGATTTCACTCCTGGAATTAATTCTCTCGTACGTTTTTATTCATTTAACCTATTGACAGTCATCGATTCAGTTCTGGCAGGTTAGTTCTATCTCGTTCCCACGATATTGCGCAAATTTAACAATTATCCGTTTATGAGGAAATATAATGTACAATGTTATCAAATAAGTTATCTGGACTCAGATTTTCTGTTTGAGTTGAACAATTAATTGACACCTTTTGCCTGTTTGTCTATACAATAGCTTGCAGGTGTCCAATTTAATTTGAAGAATGAAATTCAGTTTCGTGTGTAAACGTTTTTCAAGCGTATGAATTATTCTTCTGGACAGGACACCTTGGTGACGTCAGGTTCTATTAAAACATTTTATTATTAAATTTGGAATAGTTTCGCGTTTTGTTACGCTATTTTCAACTGAGGACAAACACCTCCGTCTCTATATCGAGCATTTTCATACAGTCAAACATTCATCGTGCCATGCCATATTCTTCTGCCGATACATTGTCCGCTGCGAATTACAATCGCGATGTTTGACATTGCGCAACGAAATACTTGAAGAAGATTAAGGGGAGTAAAATTGATGAACATCGATGCTGCGTTGAGAAACGTTGAAGAGGCAACTGGCAACCCGTGGCTGACGTTTCGATGATTAATCACAGCTACCGTTATCAATGTAACCGAACAATTTCGCAACAACCAATGAAGCTCCCTTATTATACCGACCGTATAATTTCACACGGCCGTACACCGTTTCCGCGTTAAATTCGACGAGGAGATTTCGTTCAATTACCAACAAGCTGTTAACTAGTGATAACGAGGCGATACTAAAAAGAGATCGCAAAGGTGTTTCGAGCAGAGAGAGGGAGAGAGAGCGGCGTCGGAGATATGCAACTAAAATTAAACGACGCTCGCCGGTGTGCTGTCCTAGACCCTTTCATTGGCCTTTTAACCGACATTTTCTAACCCCGACCTAGCGCAACACGTGTTGCGCACTCGCCTTATACAAAAAAGCCGAGAAGACACGCAGGATTCTTATCGATCCTCCTAGTCCAGTCAAAATTTCTCATGCTACATTCATACGGAATAATTGACTAAAATTCTGCAGCAACAGATAGGATCTGAATGTGAACAGGAATCAGAGATTTTCAAACTGATTCGACTGGACTACTAAGGCAAATGGTACTTTTAATGGACACGTGTTACGCAATATCATGCAACGGTGCACCACTATCGCAGCTGCCAGTAGTGTCTCGTAGTATATTTATATAGTATCTGAAGATAAATCGATGGGCCAGGAATAGCCGAGGGTACATTAGTTTGGAAATGTGCGAACGACAATCCTCGGGAAATCTTTCTCTTTCGAATGACGCGTTGATTATTTTCAAACGCGACGATATGAGAAAGTAGACAGCAGGGAAACGTGGCATAATGACTCACGATGATTGATCAAACGTTCTCCGAAAACAGAGACACGCGCGTTATCAGAGATACTTGTAAAGTAAGTATGATAATTTTTTTTAAACGTCTGGCAAAGGACGAGTCGAAATTGGTAGTTGATCGATCGCGTGAGTCACGGTCGATCGTCGGTGCCCCCGGAATCGTTTACCCGGGCAGACAAAGCAAACGGCCGGAATGGTATTTTGAACGGACGACAAGGATGGCCGGGATCGTCCTTCTGGCATCAACTGTGACCAGTCTCGAGATCCTTTTTCCTCGATACGTCGCTCACGCTGCCCGAATATGTAAAACTGACGTCACACCTCCTCGCAAAAGGACGCCCACTATCATTCCTTCTCGCTTCAATTATATTCACGCGGCCGTTCAAGAATCAACATCGCGACATTGTTCTTCGGACGTATCAGAGGTTTCCCGACGGTATCGGGTTCGCCGCGGACTCATTGAACGGACCGCTTCCGGGTTAGTTTCCATCCGACGATCATTCGTTTATGGCTTTGCATGAGTAATTCGTCGATTACGATGCCCCCGCCCACGATTTGCCACACGTTTCTTGGAAATTCTACCCATTCCGAGAAGTTCTCTTGATAAATTTCGTAAACACGTGCTACGAGCGTTCAGCAGTTCGAACTCTTTTTATCAAAGGACTGAAAGGAATTGGAGGTCGGATTGCAATCACGACGGGAGATCCTCTTCGATGAATGAATGACTATTTATTTGTGATATGAGTTAGTCAGTGCGTTGATGCAATGAGAAGATTCCCTGAGTGAGACGAATCACCTATGACTAATAATGGAATCGCTTTGAATCAGATTCGATGCTTAGTATTCTTGAGAATTTTGAAGATCTAAAATTTAGACAAGCATTTCATGTTGAAAAGCTTTTCTTTGAGACATTCATACAAAACATGAAACGATATTGAAAGATATTCAAGAAACATGTTCGAATTTCCACAATAATGAAAAACGTCGATTCGTTTGGACTTTTGTATTCAAACACTACCTGTGACTCGAGTTCAGAAATGCCCACGTATCGCATTCACGATTATTATGCGCTTTGCTGAACTCAAAGGAGATTCCCCCAACGCGTGGACAACCACCGAGTGTATTTATCTACGTGGAAGCGAATATTCAACCAGAAAGGAATACTTAATGATAAGAGGATGACTCAGCTTTCGACCACTGATAGCGACCGTTTTCAATTACCATTGATAACGAAATTAATTATACTACTTCCTGCCTCCGTTTTTAACAGCAAGCTCTTCGATCAGCGTTTAAGGATTTTCGGTAAACACGAACGTGTCGTATCGATGCGTGTCTTTCCTTTTGCAAAATCATGAACGACTATCACGCTTGCAAAACGTGTACAGCCGCAACCGCGTTTCCTGCGGAGGCACGTTTTTAGGCAAATACTGCGCGTCAATTACAGCACACGCCAATCAATAACTTCATCGTTCGGTGAGCAGGAAATGGAAACCATTCTCTCTCGTGCCACTTGATTAACTCGAACTTTGAACTAACCGTTGGACAAGAATAAATCATGCGATTGTAAATAGCATAAATGAAAGCCAAGATAATGTCCGAAATAAATATAACGTATGAATGATCGTGCTGGTAACGAAGATACACGTGTTACTCGCGAGAGAAAGGTGCGAAAATTACTGTTTGGAAACGAGAGAGTGATTTACACCTATCGTCGACGCAAGACTGTCTTTCCATTCTTGGAGTAGAGCCCAGGCTCTAGCGATTGTCGTTGGACGAATGTCAAGACCAAAACTGCTGCCTAACGATTGTTAACGAGTGGAGGCCGCCTAGACGATTAATTAAATATCTTCTACAATGAAAGAAAGAATTATTTCAACCAAGGTACATCATTATATCCGAAATTGAAGTTTTCTAATACAGCAATTTTCTAAATAATTATTTTTTCATGTTTTACGCAGTGAGACCAGGAAAATTCCTCAATAGGATTAAATTCGAAGAATGTCTGAGGTTTTGGTTACCCAAACAGGATGTCCCGCACGATTGATTGATAAGACCGGTAGTCAGGCTGTATCGCGTTACCAGCACAATAGGCATCCGAAACATTCGGAATCGCGTTACGTAACCGCGTTGGGCGCCGGTGAATTTTAAATATCGAAGACCCGGTTTCCAGCCGCGTTCCGCGGCGTTCAATCGGCAGAACCTCTCCTGGCTGGTCTACTTTTCCCCGCAACCGCGCCGGACAGAGTACTTCGACGTGGACGTCGAACGAGGATCGGAAAATTCCATCGAGCGACGTTAAGATTTCTTGGAAGAAGCTGTACACTCGTCTCTTCTCCCGTTCTGCGAACTTTTTCTAACGAAGTGCGTAAATCTTCAGGACGTTGAGCGAGGAGGATAGTAAATGTTTAAAAATTATTTTATGAAGCGTCGTTCTCCACTGCGAACCGTAGAAGTCAGCTGATAAATAGTTATTGCCTGTTTGAAAGTTTCCTCATTGATGAAGCTCTGAGGGGCTTCGCGTTTCATTAAAAGTTCGAAGACTAGTCTCGTTTTCCGTTAAACTTTCACTGATGAGACTGAAACGCATTGGGAGATGTATTGAAATATCGTCGAGAGGTGAATTAATTATTCGAGCTGAGCCTTAATGGGTCCGTGGAAGAATGGCATAATCGCTTGAGGACTCGGTGGAAGGGTGTTCATCGTCGTTGGAAGGACGCCCACGACGACCCACGTCGCGATGACTGTTTCTCGCGGCTTTACCTGCCCGGTTCGGCAAACGTAGGCAGGCCAAAATCACCTCCGAAACTCGATGTGACTCACTGGCCTCCCGATCGCACCACGGATTCATTATAAGCCAATACAAGCAGACGCCGAATTCGTAGATCGGTCAGTCGATCGGAAGCGAAGAAGAGGAAGTGATATTATAGACTTTCGACGAGAGCAATATGATGGAAAGGAACCGAAGGACCTGAACAGGAAGGCCTCGGTACGTACAGCGTCCTCGACCCGATCGCGGAGGTGGCGTCTCGTATGGACATGAAACGCGGTCCACCTGGCACGCCACGAGAGAATTCCTGCTCACCTACTAACACGCTCCGACTCGATTTCGCGTGGTAACCAATACCTCATCACGCATCGAGACTCGTTCCATAATACTACAGCTTTGAGTATTAAAAACGTGGATTGACCCGTCGACTCAGAATCATTTGATACACGTTTGTTATTAAAAGACGAGATTGGTCAAGCTGAATCCTGAGAAATGCCGAGTTGGCAATATGGAAAGGCTAGGCATAGAGGAATCTCGGAACATATTTGGACGTGGGGACCGTTAGATTAGTTTCGGCGTGCGTGATTCAGTGCATCGTATAGGAACGGAACGCGGCGCGCAACGAGCAGAATGCAAGGCGCAAGACTTGGTTTTTCTTGCCCCGCAGGTGCCGGGGGGAGACACAGAGAGAAAGAGAGAGAGAGAGAGGGCGACGACGTTTCTCAAGTGGGATAACGTAATGACCTCCACCTCCGTGTTTCCAACTATTTTCGATACGCTAACTCGTCTCGGCTAACTTTAGCCGCGTTTTCGTTAGTCCAGTCTTTGACTTTGAGCGCTCGCTCCTCCGCATCGGAACTACATATCTCAACCGATTCGATTTCTCAGATTTTTTGTTCTCGTTTGTCAATTGTCGCCAATTATTATCGTGTAAAATTCAGTTGTTCTCGCGATGTGAGACTGGCTTGAATTATTCTCGTCGCTCGTGTGTTTGGACACTTCACCTGAGTTGACCTGTCGGCAAACCGGAAGTCCGCGTGTAACATGAACAGTGATACGCGCGACGTGAGAGAAAATAGGTGCACGTAAGTTTAACCAGAGACTAAATAAATAGAAGCGTTTCGTATTAATTCAGTGTGGATGTACTAAAATAAGAATGCTTTTAATAGCCACTCTGTGTGTAACGTGGCTCAACTATTTCGAAGGCAACGCTCGAAATTAACTCGCGTTCACTGGAGTACAGAATAAAACAATTTTCTAGTACTACACTTTTACGGAATCGGAGATTCCACTTGGGTATTTAATGAACGAGACTCTTCGCTTAGGAGGATTCGGCTTGAGCCCTCTTTTCATTCGGCAAGGGAATATCGCGTTGATTGAACGCTTTCCACTGGCAACAGGTGGTCGGAGGTTTCTTTGAAGAGTTTCATCGAGTGACAGCCTCGAAAACGCCAATTATAACTCGATTACCTTCCTAACGACCGGATAAGTTTACTTGGACACCTTCAGGTGTTGGCCTTTCCTCTGCTAAAGAAAATTCCTCTTCAATGTGAAATCTATTGAGACGTATCTTCTGATCACTTTTTAAACGGATATGAAAGTGGAATTACGTTTTGCTTCAGGAATAATTACAGTGAAATGTCTGTTAGATTGTTTTCTGAGTACGTAATTGGAAGAGGGAAAAAGAGTTAGACTGCCAGAACGAAATAAGCCTCGCAGACTCGTTTGCCCGGCTGCCAATTGGCTTGCTAATTACTATAACTGATCCCTGCGTCGCATTGTTCGACAGGTGGTTGCCTAAGCCCTGACACCCGAGCGCGAGCACTGTGAACGATGGTCGACTACTACAAAGTACTAGAAGTGCAGCGGACCGCGTCCAGCGGCGACATAAAAAAGGCGTAAGTATCAGCCTGACTGGTAACGATTAAAAATCTTCAGAGAACGTATTATAAATTTTAAGTTACGTTTGGAATATACAATAATTGAAAAAAGAAAGGGAAGTGCATTTTTTTTAAACAGATTTGTTGTGAAATAAGAGTTGCATGAAACGGTGGAAAGTTAAACACAATAAACGTCGAGTGGAACGATCAGGAATGAATTGGTGCACCGAAAATAAGTGTGATTACATGTTTGTCATCAATGCCGTTTTATTTCGCGTAAATAACGGTGGGTGGGTAAAGATTGAATGAATGGGTTTTTATTTCAACTCCGTTGAGGTGGCTGGCGGCGATCCAAAAGAACCCGGTGTCCTCATCTGCCTCGCTGTGAACAGTCGGTGATTAAACAAAAACTCGTCGCGTTTCAGATACAGAAAATTGGCGTTGAGATGGCACCCTGATAAGAATCCTGAGAACTTGGAAGAGGCGAACAGGCGGTTCAAAGAGATCTCTGAGGCTTACGAAGTACTGATCGATGGTAAGATTGAATTTTAATCGATTTTTCTAAACTTTCAATCCTGAAACCACGAGTCGAATTTGGTCAGTCATATGGAGTCTATTTTGTCGAATGGTGGTTTTGGGATGAAACTGTTCTGATAAGGAGATGCCCTGAATCGTGCAACCATGTCTCTCCGCGGCTTGGACGAGCTAGCTAGGCTTTAGTAACGAATAGAGAGCGTAATGCCAACGGGAGACGAACGACGGCAGCTCCTGCTTGTCAGCAAAGCCGAATTTCGCATGAGCCTACTCTTTCGAACGGTATCCAACTAGTACGACTTATTCTGGGAGCCAGCGTCCGTCTGATCTAGAACGGATCGATCCTTATGAATGAGCGTTTCATAACCGCCACGTGATAGCGCAAATTGAGTCTAATAATCAACGGCTTCGAGTCACAATGTCAATTTCCTTCGATTTATACACACGATCTTGCTCAAGACTCTGAACTACTCGATTCTCGAGCTCCCCATTCGTGTGAATTCGAGGATCGAGGCTTGAACACTTTTAGCCGAAGCATCGCTGCGAAATTTCTGTCGTTCACGAAAAAAAAAGAAGGGAAATTCAATCAGAAATGTTTGTTTCCGGACCGTGCTCGATGTCCAGATGCGAAGAGACGAACCTACGACCAACGATTGTATCAGAAGGCGTCCTCGAGGCCCGGCCGTGGATTCACCTACCGGAGTTACTTTGACTCTCCTTTCCAGCGATATTTCGGTACCACTTAAGAGAAAAAAGACTTTGAGAGAGTGACCAGGATTTTCTTTCGATTTTGTCTCCTCGTTGCCAAGCCGGATCGTTTCCCTTTAGCTCGAAACTCGTAGGATCTTTGTGTTCCCTGCGAGTACTCGTGGGAGCCTCGAAAGATACTTTTTTCTCTTTGCCGCCGTTCAAAACGCAGATAATATTGCCTGTAATTTTCTCGCATCTCTAACCAACTGCCATTGCTCGACTGACCAAACGAGAGAATGTTACAAGAAAATTGAATCAGTCTTCAAAGGATTTTAATTAAATACAAAATGTTTCTCGACTAAATTGTATTGAAATTAATCTTTGAAGATCCGTTCGTTTCTAAGTTGTTCTCTCTCCACTGGTTTTTCTGTTGGACGACTTCCGATTGACCAGCGTATTCTACTAACCAAAGCCTTGCAGTACTAGCTTCTTGGAATTTGGAGCGAATAAAACCAAGCGGACCCATTGTTTCTCGTCAAATTTTTATTAACCGCGACCTCCGTTTGTTTTTCAGAAAAGAAAAGGCGAGTGTACGACCAGTATGGAAAGGAGGGGCTTCAGATGCCAGGTGGTAAGAGGCGGCACGACGACGACTTCGATGCGCACTTCGCTGGCACCTTCGTCTTCAGAGATCCTGAGGAAGTATTTAGAGAATTTTTTGGCGACTCCGGTTTTGAAGATCTCTTCTCAGGTAAGTAAAAATCCTGTCGAATCTCAATGGAAACCAACTCTAAATCTCCATAATTGTAATTATAGTAAAGTGTGTACCCTGAAACATTGTTAAGTTCTCGCGGAAAGTTCGCGTTTTGGTAGTAAATAAAATTAACTGCATGCCAGAATCATTTAATTTTGAATATGGAGCAAGTGAAATTCTTAAAACCTTGAGAAGTTGAGAAATGAAGCAGGAACTTTTCGCGAGATTAAATAATAAATGGAAAACAGTTTACAAACCAAGTGATTAACCGAGTTGGACGAGCTGCTTCAGCGGCAGAATCCAATTACCACGTGATTAACGGTGTGCTGATTCGTTCCCAAAGACCTTATCGGAGTGGGACGCCGGGGATCCAGGCACAGTCATCCAACCAGTAACAGCATAAGCACGTCCTTCTTTAGCCCGTTCGGCTTCGGTTTCTCACCGTTCAACAACTTGTTCGAAGGTGCGTCAGGGAACTTCACGTCGTTCAACACGTTCACGTCCTTCGGCGGGTCAAACGTTGGCGGTGCCGTGAGACGAACGAGCACCTCCACTCGGTTTATCAACGGAAAAAAGATCACCACCGAAAAGTAAGGATGCTACAAAACGTTCACGAAGATCCTCTTCAAGAATTCCAAGAAATACTCCGTCATCTTTCCTAATCACGTCTCAATGAATCCGTCGTCCTGATGAAAATTCTTAAAGACGTTCTTTAAGAAAATCGCGAATCCAGTCCAGAAGTTTCTAAAAAAATTTTTGTGCCTGGGGCTGTTGCAGGGTCATCGAAAACGGGAAGGAAACGATAATGTCGTACGAGAACGACGTCCTGAAGTCGAAGACGGTGAACGGCGTGCCACAATCAATAACGTACAGTTAAATCACAGATATCTACCGATCAAGAAAACGCTCGCTCGATCTCCGCTCGGCAATGAGAAATTCCTGTCGTCGTTTTGTCACGTATCTGCGAGTAAAATAATTCAATCTACGCCCTCGCCCTACCCCCCTCGACACCCGTTAAGAGAGGCGTTAACGTTGTGTTCCTGCTACTGATCTACCTGAACGTGAAAAAAAAAAAGAAATCGATTCATTCTCAGCAAAAACGAGTTAACAACCGCGGCAGTCACGATTGTACTTCATTTTTACTTTAGATCATTCATTATCATCCGGCACCCCTCGCATCTCGTTGGAAACGTTCTCTTTAAAAATGACATGTAGTTGTGCCGCTGGTCGACGGACTTCCGGCCTCACGCATTATTGTAACAACAAGATGAACGACAAAAATATATGTACATATTATTATACAGTTGATCAACCAATACCAACGAGAGAGAAACGGAACGATGTATATATATAAAATATACATATATATATACATATACAGCGGATTACTCTGGCGAAATTCGATGACAGTGAAATTGGATCTCTGAAGCTCGAGCGATCGGGTCTCGTTTACAATTATGAATGTGCTTAAGAATTTTGGATAAAATGAGAAAGATCAAATATTTAGGCGAGGCGCGAAGATAAACGTTATCCATCACGTTCTGAGCTTTTGTTCCCGTCACCTTCTGTGTTTTACCAGGTTCGACGAGTCATCGACGAGTCGCCAGCTGACCGACAATGCCAGCGATATCTCGATGGCTGGCCAGAACTCGAGAACAGTCCACGGTGACCATCAGAAGGCTAGCCGAATAAAGACGCACCATCCACCACTTCTCACTAAGAAGCACGATAAGAGTAAGAGAAAATAGAGGCAACACACTCTTGCAGCCTTCTCTCATTCGTTTCTATATTAATTACTATCATTATTAATTGTATTCTCATCTGTATTTTCGTTAACTTTTTTTTGATCCCTATTCATGATATATATGTATATGTTTACATGTATATTATTTTCGAGACAAACGCAAACATACATCATACATACGTTTATCTTAAACGGCATTCGTGAATTTGTTCGTGACAAGAAAAAGAAAAATTACTGGTTCAATGCCTTGGTTGGCTATCGTTTCACATGTTCGGTTGATCAGAAATAAAAAAAAGAAATTCGCTGCAAAGTAGTCTGATTGTAAAGCTGTGAGTGAGAGAAAGGAACAGAGAGATTGATCGAGAGAGTAAAAGTCTTTTCTTTCTGCGGGCACACAGGAAGAGAAGGTTTCTCTTCTTTTTTTTAACTTTATTTCACAGAACATTCTGTTGCGTTTTATATAGAGTGCGCGTCGTTTCTGTTGAAAAAAAAAAGATTTGGCGTGTTACGTTTAAAGTACGGTAAGTTTTCGCTTAATCCTAGATTCCTTAGATGATTAATTAATCGATTAATGAGTCCGTTACGTTGTTAGTTACGATGATAGAATTGATAGATTCTTTAAGCCGCGACACGACAATTATACTATTACGATTATTATTATTATTATTATTACTACTACTACTATTACTACTATTACACGCGCTTCGACTGAGTTTTAACGAGTCTTAAGAACGTTAAACGAACACTTTACTTAACACGTTACATTTTTTTTTCGCGGAATGAGTTTTTAAGCATACTACTAGGAATCCGTTGCCCAGAGACATCACTCTTTAGTTTCAACTTACAGCTGTAACCAGTGTTCTAGAGGATTGTATCGTATCGCAAATTATGTGCTGTTGAAAACGCGCGAGCGTAAGAGCATTCACGATGGAAGAAATGTGTTCCGCGGAGAATGAAGGATTTTCGTATCGATCACGTATATACAGGGCTAAGTTACTCTGTTGCGGAAATGTTTTCCTTCAATTAAAACCAGAACTTAAGCGTGGTAACGTCCTATTCATTTTTCTTTAGTTAGTTTCCCTTTGCGTATGTGTACATAATGATAAGGCAAAAGAAATGTTAAAATGGTCTTGAGTAACGAGGAAAGTGAGAGAAAAAATACATTGATTAATATACACTAATAATAATAATATCGTACGTATATTTATATATACACATATATTCCATTGTTCTCATGTCGATTTATCCAGACTCCATTTCTTCTGATTTTTTAATAACTTTATAATATAACGTGTGTAGGACAGGAATAACGACGATGGCAATTGTAACAAAGTAAACTGGCAACTTTATTATTTCTTCAAATTTTTTCGCTTTACAAAACGGGGTTTCGCCTGTGGTCCGATTGTGATCTCTTAATAGAAAATTGTGTATATAAAAGATTTTTCCAAAAGCGAGTCGTTCTTTTCTTAAATGTGCTTCGATGTGGTATTTAGAAAAGAATCGTGTACATGTATTCGAAAAGCTATTTAAGTGAGCGTGCATGGGAGAATTGAGAATCCGATCCTCCGTGAGGTGGGATCATGAGAGAATACAGTTTCGGCGTTGTAAATAGACCGAGTCCAGTGATAGCGAAATAAACGTTCAGCTACCACCGAGACCAGTTTTTGATTCGTTTCAAATCGATATGTCAATTCCTCGTTTCTTCTTTTTATTACGATATATATCTATATATATC